GGAAACCTCAGTGCCCCAGCGGACCAGGGCCCGCGGACGGAGCGGTTGGACATTTTTGGGGTAAGCGGGACCCCGGGGCAGGGGTCCACACACCAGACCGGAGGCCAGGGCGAGGGTGTAGGGGTGGAGGAGCCTCTGGACACCAGCATCTGGGGCCAAGCCGGACAGCGACGAAGGTCTCATCACCGGACGGTACGCGCTGTACCAACTGAACAGCATATCAGATAACATCAAGTTGTGGCAGGCGAGGCAGGAGCGTACGCCCATCCGGGTGGGGTGAGCCTTCACTGTGAGTGGGGGGGTGGCCGTAGTCCCTTCCCCAAGGACCTGGGAAGGAAGGGACACAGCCTAAGAGAATCCACTTACACCAGTACTCAACATTTTTCTATAACATGCACTTCTAGAATTACAAAACAGAAGAGTATGATATTTTCTTGCAGTATTTGTGAAATTGTATATTCAGGACTATATCATGCTGTCTATGCTCCAGCTGTTTCAAAATTACAATTTTCCTCTAGCAAGACATGTCAACATTCAAAATCATGTTCCGCTTTTAAGTCTCAACCAAAAAAAGTCAAAATATCAATAATTTTAAAACAAAATTTAAAAAAAAGTTGTAAATCAGCTATGTTATAATGCTGAAAGATTTTGGGTTTTTTTTAAATGAAATTATCCAATATTTTTCATTTTGATTTCAGTCCAGAAAAAAAAAAGAAATAAGAAAACATTTAGCAGATATGTTAACAATTATACTTTTTGAGAAGGCTTTTCCAGTCAAAATAGGACTTTCATCTGCTGATAACTCTCCCAACAGGGAAAGCCAATACAGTAGACCCCATCAATATCTACTCCTCTTCTGCTACTGGTTTGGTAAGAAGGTCCAAAATACAGAGTGTAATTCCATTTCTGAGGGCTTGGTGTGGCAGCTATTATATTCTCTTTTAACTACAATGCTTTTGAAGGAATAGGGGGATATAAAGCTAATCGTTGATTTAATTAAATCTGTGCTTTTTGGGTAAGTACATGTGACGGGAATAGAGCAGGGCAAGAGGAAAGCCCCAAGAAAGCCAAATGAGGGACATTTACCCCAGGTGCAGCAGGAAGATTGGCCAGAGCAGGAAACACACTGTCATGTTTCCACAGTGTGTGTTCCCTGTGGATTGGCAGAAGGAGCACATGGAAAGGTATTTCTGCCAGAGAGTGGCAGTCAAGAGAGGACTGTGACTGGTGGACTGAAGTGATGCTGGAAGTCTCCCTTGATGACAGTGGCCAGTTGCCAGCAGTGGAAAAAGAAAGCGGATCCTCTAGGCACAGTGGTTGGAGGACCACTGACAAGCTTCTGGACATGCTGTGCCAAGAATCACTCAAAGATGGCCAGATGAGGATTAAAGCGGTGGAGCCACTGAGAATCCATCTGTGAGTTTTCAGGGGTAAAGCCCTGTTGCTTCTTTTATGTTCTTTTCTTTTCTGTTGTTTTTGGGGATCATCCTCCCCTCCTCTGGTGCCAGGTAAAGCAGCTTGAGGGAGAGGTCCCCTCATGGAAGGTGCTCAGAGGTTCTGACCCTGAGGAACTAAGTCAGGGGAAAAACCCAGCAGAAAGGTTTTTCATTTTTGTTTGATGGGCCAAGTCATCCTTAACAGGGCTGACCTGAAATGATTGACCCAGGAACCTGTGATGCATTGACTTCAAGTGTCTTGGATTATCTATTTAATTATTTGATTAGAATTCTGAAAGGACTAAGCTGAGCTAGTTAACCCAGGAACTGGAGATGCCTTAGTTTATTTTTATTACACACTTGATTATTTGATTGGGTCTTTCAGGGACTGACCTGGATTGATTAACCCAGGAATCCAGGAGGAATTTATTTAAGGTCATTGGTCTGGTGGACTATAGATGGACTGATCTCAGTTGATGGACCTACAAACCAAGGATTGGTTTGATTTAAAATGGCCTCAGGGGGCCTGAGTGAATGGATTTAAGTGTCTTGGTATTTATTGGGTCCACCAGCACTTAGCTGCCAGTGGCATCAGGGTGATACAAAGTTTGGACCCTGATGTGTGGCATCCAGAAAGTGGTAAGGGTCACGTGTGAGGGGAGGTGGAGCCCCACAAAGAAACCCCTCCAAGAGGACCCACCAGTATCCCCGCCAACCCACACATCCAGCTGCCAATAGTTAAAGAACATCAAGATGTGGCAGGTGAGAAAAGAACATCAGAGATTGGTGGTGGCAGTACTGTCTGGTGCCCCAACAGTGTAGTCTGGTAAGACATCAAGTAGGCATGGGCCACAGCCATACAGCACCTATTTCCGACAGTATAGACAGTCAAAAAGCCCAAAGCTGAATCAATTCAGTTTTCGCAGGTGAATCTAAGCTGTGTAGACTGAACCAATAAGCAAGTGAACAGCCATTCACTTTTGATTCCAGAAATGCAGCCACATGCCTGCAGTGGCCCAGGGCAGAAGCTGGGGGAAGGAGAGGCTAGAGCACCCCACCCTGCTTGTCTGGGGCAGACAACTTGGGCCAAGGCTAGCCTGCCTACTCTGCAAGGGCAGTTTGCAGGGGAGGTGCAAAGCATGCTGGGATGCTGGGGGACTGTGAGTTAACTTGAATCTGGAGGGGATCTGGGACAGAAATTCAGTTACCTGATTTAACCTAAATCAGTTAAGCCTGATACAACCATCCGGGTTTATCTTAAACCAGTTTTGGCCATTTTGAAAGTGGTTTATGTGCACTGAACTTGTTGTGTTACAAATTTGAACTGGTTTTCAATCATTTATTCTGGTTTATGTCATTTCTGTCCCTAACCTTTAAAGTACAAATTGAAAATTCAGTAAAGCTCAAGTTACAAAACAATGTGTGAACTAGCAATAACATTATCTTCTGGTAAAAAAAAAAAAAATTATAGGTCAAGTCAGAAAAAAAATGAGCAACTTCTTTAGAAAAGAGGGAAGATGCAATTAACAAGCAAAATTAAATAAATTCAGAGTGTTAGTCTTACCAAATGGCAGCTTGAGCCACGATGGGGCCTAACTCTGTCCCACTTTCAGGTCCCAAATTGCAGTAGCATAGGCTGAGAGTTATAAGTTTTCTGTTGCCCTTTAAGCCAGAAACAAGTCCATTGATTCCTTTATCTCCAAACCTATAAAAGAGGTCCTTATATGTATGTGTTGACCACTGCCCCCTCCAGAGCACTTTTTCAAATCCTCAAGCATGTATTCAGAGATTATTTATAAGAAATCATCATTCGGACAGAAGACCTCAGCAACCATCACCCTCCCTCCTGTTGCATAAGGGGTCGTCTGTTTATTTGTTTAATCTGAGGAGCTGGCTAAACAGTACCTCACCTCTGTCAGTAAATACCTTTTTCATCTTCATCTGACCAGGAGGCTGTGCTTTTTACTCTCAAATACAGAACAAGCAGTGGTGCTTATTTTCATTACCTGAAGATTAGGTTACTACGGTGAACCATATCTGTGGCTGACTGCAAGGTCTTATAAAAGGCTCGCTTAATTAATATATCAGGGTAGCTATTAGAGCAAATCAGAAAATGAGTCTGTATTACACTTAGGACTTGGCTGAGAGACTGTACCTCTCTTCATCATACTGTAACAGTTGCGTTAGAAAAAAAAGCTGCAGATAGTCCTCAAGTTAAAACTGGAGGCTCATTATAAAAGCTTTGATTGTGGGATCTCCTACCAGCATAGATTAAGTTGAGGCTCAATACACTGAAGTATTGAAGCAGGAGCTGTCTCTGTGCCAGTTTTCTTTCAGCAACAGTGTCTGCCTACTAACTCAAGAGCATTCTTCCTGCAGAAATCATCCCATATAAGAGAATGCTATAAATAAAGACTTCTAGGAGACAGTTTCTGCTTTTCTTAATATTTTTGCCTCCTCAATATTCCAGAGAGACACATTCAACATGCTTCACTAGAAAGAGAGACCACTTGCATTCCAATTATTTTGTTACAAAACCAAAAACATTTTTTTGTGTAATTCAGTTTTTAGTAACATTAGTGAATTAGTAATGGCGAACTCTATCTGGGATTCAGGTGAGAAGCAGAAATGTTAGAAAATCAGAAAGTGGGAGTGTCTACATGTGCATTAATGCGCAGTTGCTACTGTGCATTAAGGTTAGTACTTTTAATATGAGGTAGTAAATACGCTAGTGTGCGGTAACACTGTCTTGTGGTCTTTTCGTGACACTTAATGTACAGTAGACTAATTCTACTGTTCATTAGCACATTAGCATGGCTTTTACCATGATGCACCAATACATAGTAGAATTAGCCTACTGCACATTAAGTGTCTCCTGTAGATGTGCCCACTGAGGATGGAAATTTACCCATGAATGAATTTTCATTATGACGAATGAGGAATGTATAAATCATGGGATTGGAAGGCACCTCAAGGGTCATCTCATCCAACTTCCTGCATGGATGTTGCTCCTAAATCATCCCTATGCCAATCCAAACTCTTTAAAACCTCCAATGAAGGAAATTGCACAACTTTCCTGGGCAGTTTATTCCACTGCCTCACTGCTCTAGGCAGTGAGGAAGATCTTCCTGATAGCAACTGGTAGTCTTAATCTGCTTTGCTGCAGTTTGAAACCATTGCTTTGCATCCTGCCCTCTGCAGCAAGAGAGAAGGCAGCCTTTCAGATATTTGAAGACCGTTTTTGTGTCTGCCCTTAATTACCTGTTTTCCAAGCTAAGCATGCCTGGTTCTCTCAACTGTTCCTTGTATGACTTGCCTTCCAACCCCTTTATCATTTTTTGTCACCCACCTGAATGGGAACCAGTGTTTGTGGGTGAGGCTACATTTATATCAGAATTGCTTTACCTTTCAGGGAACTCTGAACATAACAAGCACTGTTCAAACTCACACTTGCTTGCTTACTGGTATGAATGCAAAGCTCCTTTTTACTTACTTAGTATAATCCAGTACAAGAGAGCTCAAGTTGCTGACAGGCAAAGCTGCTCCAAGTCGTTCCACAGACCATGCATCTATTACAGTATGTATGATTTCTAGGCTACAGAAAGGGTAGGTGGTACGTCCATCCAGCTCCAAAAGCAGTGCCTGGTAATACAAAGTATGAATAAAAAGCAAGGCTTATTACATAAAATCACACACTTTAACAGGTGCAGTGTGTCCGGCTTCTTTGTTGGATGTTTTTTAACATTTTTAAACCTAATGTTTGTGTGCTACTAGTTTGTGTTGTGAAAGGTTCCAGACTGACAATCCTGGAGACAGAAATATATCAAACACGGACATTGTGAACAGTAACAGAACAGGTTTCTCATCATGAGTCACTGTTTAGCCTAGTGGGACTGCCCCACTGAGTTAATTCATCCATGCACTTGAATCTGTTAGCTTTTCTGCAAAGATGAACCCTGAGTTTATGGTGATGGTTTTCATGTTGTGGATGCTTGTCCACTGAAAACTGTGTTTAGATCTCAAAACAATAAATAGCTGAATCATTTTGAGTATATTCAGTCTAAATGTCTTTGTTAGATATTTGAATGTATTAGCTGAATGTGCATATGAGAATCTAAACTTCTGTTTGTTAAATATGGGCATATATAAGGATGCTCTAAAGTTGCTTAGTCTGTCAATGTTGCTTTAAATTTCTACTCCTTATATTATTGTTCATATTTTCATTTTACTTACAAGGTTTGCAATATCTTGATTGCTTAGCTGTATTCCCCAGATACAAAGTTCCTTTCCCAACATATAACGTTCATCTCTAATTGTCCTTAGTAAGGGAGTGAGGGAGACCAGCTGCACATCTCCTCTTGAGTTCTCAGAGCTTGTAAGCACAAACTAGAAAACAAAATAATTATATTTTGGTGTCAGAGTAAGCAAATATGCTGAAACATGCTATATATTGAAGGTGATCTATTAATGCTGAAGTCAAAGGCCCTTAATGTAGTTCTATATGAGAACTGTGCAGAAAATGTTAAATCAGGGGCATCAGACATAGTTTGCATGCCAGGAGTTGCATCCAGGCCATGGAACTGCTGCATCCACCTGCTGGACTACTAGGGGGTCACCAGAACTTGAGGGTGTAGCTGGGAGGGGCCAGGGAGTGGTCTGTTAGCAACTCCAGGGCCCTTTGGCCCTAGCAGACTTGGTGATCAATGGCAGGAAGGTAAGCGAGGTCTGACACAGCCCTAACTACCCTTTGGCCATTTTGCACATTGCCACCATGGCAGTCTCCAGCTCTTCAGCCGCCACCACTGTGTGCTCCATGCTGGGCAACATGAGTCAGCAACAGCAGTTCCAGTTCTCACATGGGGCACACAGCAGGAGATGGAGCTGCCAGTGCCACATGCACCAGGCAGAAGCTGTGGTCTTCATCTAACCTGGGGCAGCATGTGAGTTTGACACCCCTGTCTTAAATAACTATGGTAAAAGGGACACACTGCACATTGTACACTTTGAAAGTGGATTTTTTCCACCTTCTGGTTTTGTGTTTTGCATATCCAGACCTGCTCTTACTCATTGGTCTTGTTCACTGTACAAAAACAGGTGTTTTTTATATGGCTGCAGCTCAAGCCTTGGCACCAGAAATAGAAGCTATAGAATAACTGTAGGAAGTGTAGGCATTTCTACTACTGCATCTTCTAACGTTGCAGCCTGGAAGGAATTATTTTACTGCCTAGAGTATTCTATGTCCCATGGAAATACAAAGAAAAAATCTGAAATTTTTTGAGCTTTAATGTTCCTTTGGCTCCAATGAACTTCTGTTGTGGGAGATCACCAAGGTAATTCATATTAGAAAATAGCACAGCATATAGCAGTGCCCGCAGTGGAACACTGGAATCATCCTTCTTGTGTTTATATAGATCAGACAGGCATCTAACAGCTTTTATTGTAGCATTTGCAAGTCTCCTTCACATTGTAGTTAAAATGTTTAGAACTTGAATGCCTAAGTTGGATGCTTGAATTAAATTTGTGTTTAAGTAACCATAAATTAGGATTCAAATTGGGAGCAGTAAGTCCTCAGGCAGTTATATGTACTATTATGGGAAACTATGAATTAAATACTCTTGGCAATTGAAAAAAAAATAGGCCACTTTTGTCGAGATACCCAGAGACAATCCCAGCAGGGTGCAGTGCCCAGGGCAAAGTAGCCTGCGTGGGCTCCCCCCCAGCACACATATGTCATGGAGTGAAAGCCCTGGTACACTGGATGAGGTGGGATGGGTGCTGGCCAGAAGAGGCTAAGAGCCGTCCAACCTGCCTGGCAGGTGGATGGGCTAAACTGCAGCCACGGCCTCTCCACCTGGCTTTGCAGGGCTCCCCGAAAGCGTGGGGCCTGGGGCAGTTGCCCTGATTCACCCCCCGCAGGGATGGCCCTGGAGATACCCGATATTAGGTTCCCAATTTTGGAGTCCTGATTTACGTTTAACAGGTGATTCAAAACCTATGTAAAAATACACACAACCCTTTCACTATAAAATACAGTGCAAGTCAGTTGAATTTAGTTATTTTTGGGTTTAAAATTCCCTACCCACGAACATCCATAGCTCTGAGCATTCTTGATACAGAACTTTAAAAGCACAAAAGAAAGTAGTTATACAGTGAAAGCTGTAGTAGTTCCTGCTCAGCTTATCTCAGATCGATATGCAGAATATGTATTCACCTTAGTAAGAACTATTTCATTCCCTAGGCATCTTTTTAAACTCTGTTTGATTGTGACACTGACAGAGCTTTGGGAAAGGGCACAATGCCTTTCATAGGTTTTCATAAACGTTTTAAGAATGGAGATGTCTGGAAGTGAACTGGCTTTTGTTTTCATTTTCTTTTTCTTCTTTTCTTGCATGACTTGAAGTTTTTTGTTGCCTTTTGTTGCTTACCCTGAAACACAAAATCCAAGCTTATTTTTATTAAAAACAAAACTGCTATTGAAATGTTAGTGTTATGATAATGCAAAGAACAGTTATGTAAGAGCATATGTATCTTGGCTCATCCTGAGTTATTGCTGCACTTATATACTGGTGTATCGACAAAACAAACACTATTGGAACATTTAAGTACAGCATAACGTCAATTTTTCTGCCAAAAGAAATAGTTTAGAAATCATATAAAAATGCAAGCAATGCTTGTTAGCATAGGTCTATGCCAATACCACTCCTAAAGTACTGCATTACCAGTGCTGTTTCACCAGTAGGACATACTCCTACATAACAGCCAGTACTAATAATACAGTTGTGGTTACAGCAGGGACAACAATAGGGGGCAGAGAATGGGGCAGCAACACTGGAAGACAGTCAGGATTATGGGGCCTGCGCTGGACAGCTGTGACAATACTAACACTAGGAGCTGTCAGGGCAGTGCTGAGCTGCAGGATGCAGATGCTGAGAGGGCTTTGTTTATAATAATTTCTGAAATGAATGTGCAGCTTTCTAGCAGCAAAGCCTAACACAGAGGCCCATAGACTAACAATCATGAACACTGGAAAACATTTTTACTGTAGTCTCAAAGTCTTGTTCTCACAGTGAACGGTGTGAGGGTCTTAATGCCTCAGAAGTATGGAAACCTGGAGTGAAGAAATCAGAGCTGTGCACCCCCCCCCACACACCGGTAGATAATGATAAAGCAAAATCCTCATTATTTTCACTATAATGCAAAGTTCATACTGGATTTGGCATAATGTTACTAAAGCCAAGTGGAATTTAGAAGGGAAGGACATTATATAATTTAGACATTAACTGTATGAGCATCACAGGTTTTACAATGTATTACCCATGTTTATAGCAACCAAGACAATCCAAGATTTAATTTAGGATGGAGAAGGAATTTTGTAAAGGTTTTTCATTCCTAGACAGAATCTTTTAAATATCTAAGGCAGTGATTCTTAACCTTTCTAGACTCAAGGTCCCCCTCAGAAAATGCCAACTCTTAGCTTTCACTCATTTCTTAAGTGCAGAAAAATAACAGAGTAAGGCTTCTGTTGCAAAGAACTGAGAAAGACCATGACAGTCAGCATGGCTTTGACTCTGAAGATTCCTATTTGAAATCTCTGGGATTACCTTGTGAATTGTGTGCAGGTGTCACCACACCTAACAGTGTTAATGGTGCATGGCTCCCTGCACCACTCTTAAAAGGATATGATAATACTGAGTGAGAATCGCCAATCTACGGCAAAGCACTGTAGCAAGCCAACTGTTGCTGTTGGTGATTCAATCCCACAAAGGCCTGAGTGTATTCTGCATGTTGCCAAATCTTAACACCCCTTGTAGTCCACCCGTGATGCGTCTGCTTTCTCCTCTTCTTCCTGTACACACAGAGGTGTAACAACAGAGCCAGGTGCCCAGGAAAGTGGCAACACACAGGAGTAGCAGTAACTTCTGGCTGCTGCTATGCTGCCAGGGTGACTGTGTGGCTGTGGTGGCAGCAGTTTTTTCCACTTTTTCCCTCTCCCAAGTTGGTGCCTGGGCAGCTGCCATGGTCATCCCCCTTTCCCTCCCTCCCAGTTATGATACTGTGTACACACCTGTCCTTTTGAAGCAGAGTCCAATCCTAAACCCCAGATTGATTTGCCAGTTCAGAATATACACCTGAAGTTTAATTTCACACCTGGATCCTTGACTACTATGAGGCTGCTATAAGAAAAAACATTTTCCGTAGTTGGTGACATTAAACTAACTTGATATTCCTTACCATCTACCTCAAAAAACCCAGTAGAATAGACTTGATGTTAGAAATCTCTTCTATTCAGTTAAATCAGCTTATCATAAAGCACATTTATCATAAATGGTTCTAAGACTGGTGGCCTATGAAGTGGAACTGGTAGTCTGTTTATGGTAGAGTTTCCTTTGTGCTTGCTATTGTGTTACCGTGTGACACTAATCAGCACCTGTGCTAGGAGCATGAAGGAATATCTCCCCTGAAAAAAAGCTAACCTGAGTTTACTATTTTATGAGTCATCTATAAAGAAAAGACAGTCTGGGTTTTAATTAATGCCAGCAGCTTGAATTTGAAACTGGGGATGCTAGAGACTAAAGTCAAGCTGCTGAACCCAAGCTACTGTCTTCTCTGCTATTTTAACTCCTTGGTTAACCAACCTAAGAAACATGTTTTCTCTCTTGCACTGGAGACACATGCTTTGCTGTTTTCTTACTGTTTAATGTCCCATACAGGTTCTTGAGAGCTGCAGCCGCAGAACTAGTGTAGAGGTATGAGGGTCTCTGTCTTGATGCTTTTGGCCTCACACAGGTCTCTGGGATTTTCCTGGTTCCAGGGTAGTTGTACAGGCTGTAAACTGGGAAGTGAAGCCTGCTGGTTAGAGTGAGAAATTCTATGGTGGTATCTTTATAAAGTGGCCTTTTCCTGAGCCCTCCCTTTGGTCACTGGATTTAACCACAGAAAGGAGTTGTCTGGGCCTAAAATATTTTTCTCTCTGACTACAGCTACGGATGGAGTGCCCTGCACAGCTTCCGTAGTGCAGTTGCTGCCCTGGACCACGGGGTTCTTAATTCAAGTTTCAGGTCGATGGGGCTGCGTGGCCTGGTGAGTTGAGCAGGCGCCATTCCTTGTGTGCTGTGGCTTTACTAATCACACCAGAGGATATTATTTTTCACGGAGGTTTTAAAAATGTTCTTGGGTAGAGAAGTAACAATGTGGCTGGACACCCAGGGCAGTAGACTTCTGGTCACCACTGTTGTTGGTACGATTGCGCAGCTGTGTTTTCCCTTCCCCCCACCCTGCCCCTTCCCCCGCCCCCCCCCAAAAAAATCAGCATCCGAGAAAGCTGCCCCAGTTCCTCCACTCTAGTTAATGCCACTGCTTTTCAGATTATATGCTATATTCTTCTCTTCAGGTTGCTTAGTAATTGATATAAAGAGCTTATCTGGATTTATATTTCCTTTTATTTCTACTCTAAAATACTTCTAAAGCTATTTAGGATAATCCACAAAACCAGCAAAGTCTTCATTCTCACTTACAGTAGTGTAAATCAACACGTTCTGTTTCAGTTAGCAGAAAGGGTACGTGCACAATACAAACCTGTCACACCACTTCAGAGCTCAGCTCATCCCCACATGCATGGCATGGCATACGCACAATGCCCCCAAAACTTTTATTAAACACATTAGAGGCAGGCAAGTCAGTGGTTAATTCAATAGCTTTTAAAGTACCATTTCTTATCCCTGGCTTGGTGTGAGAAAGTAAAGGTAATACCAATAGAAACGACAGAAACTAGCTAAAGGAGAGGATCAAATACATGTTTCCTTGGCCTGAACATTTAGAGGCAGGAACAGAAGATTTAAGAGAGCTCACCTTGATTGATTTCCCCCCACGAGGCTGGTAGAACATGGATTTCCCCTACCCTCTTTCATCTCCCTTGCAGTATGTGTTATGGCAGCAATGGTGCTGACACAGCAGCTGCTGTCTACAATTGTAGAAGGAAAGAGCGGAGTTATGCTAATACTTACCTCCTTTGTAAATCACTTGGCAGATCTTTGGAGAAAAGGTGCCATATCAGTGCCTTGCTTGGATGTTGTTGTAGTTCATGGCTGATTCTTACCAGTGTAGATTCATTCCACTTTGCTGAGAGCCTCTGCAGGCTCCTTGGCAGCTGCAGTCAGCATTTCTCTGTCTCCTAGCAACCAAGTCACAGGATTCGGAAGAAGAACGCTGACCCTTTGGTGTTTAAATGGCTGGACTCCCACCCCTCAGCCTCCCATTTAGATCGTAACCTCTCAGTGCAGTAGTTGCATATTGGTTGAGAGAAAACACCAAGTTAACTCTCTGGCTTGATTTGAGCCCCTCACTAACATGCATGTGCCCCTGCAATATCCTTTCCTCACCGTCTGCTCCTGTCCATTGCCGAAATTCTCCTCAAAATGCCAAACTGGAGTGAACTTGAAGATTTCAAGACCAATCAGAACTAAAACCTTCTGCAGAGTTTTTTTAAATTGACTTGGGTAAGTAGTTTTTTTCATTTTTATTTTTTTAAAAAACCTTTAAAGTGTCTTGAGTTCAAGTCTGTCTATAAATTTGGGGATGGTTAGTTTGTCTCTTCTCACTTCCTAACATCAGAAAAGTGGCCAGACTGAGGTGGTCCATTGAAAGAAGAGGGGAGGGGAGTGGGGGAGGGACAGCTTTGAATAATACTCAGTTGTGTGGCTTTAATAGCAGAAAAGTTTTTACCTAGACTGCAGTACCTGTTAATCAGGTACTGCTCGCATTTCATATACAGCTAAAATAATCCGTGGTAAGAGAATACAGATCAAAGGTCTGCATTTCAATTAATACAAGTTTTTTTCTCCAGTTTACACTGTTCTACCTGGTCATATTAATCAGATGTTTTACAAAAATGTATGAATTACAAGTGCTTATAGTTAGCAGTCTTCAGAGCTCATTTATCTGCTGTTATGAACTCAGTGCCATTTAAAAAAATCCAAAGTAAACATTTTTTACAAAAGGGAACCACAAGATTTCTATTAAAGAATGTTGTGTCCTTTTATTGTGAAAACATTAAACTAGACTTGACATTAAATCATCACTTGATCACTGTAAAATGACACTTTTGAAGCAGTAAGAATGTTGTTCAGACATAAACACTTGCAAGACTGAATTTAGACAGATTTTGAAATGACGATTTGGAAATATGGGTGCGTTTATTCTTTAGTAAATATGTTCATTAAATACATTGTTCCACACAGCTCAAATGTCTGGATTTGTAAAACGGCACTGAGAAAGATGATAATACACTGTTGGCATTTTGGGAAGAGGTATGTTTGTTATGTTATTCAGTTCCTTGGGACTAAGACCTCTGATAACATATGGCACAGAAAAGCTGTGGCTGTGATCAGCTAGTCTGACTTCCTTTATAAATGCAGATCACAGGATTTTCCAGTATTAGTTCTTTAAACTAGCACCATGGTCTTCAAGGAAACACCCAATCTTGACTTAGAAATTTCAGTGATTGAAGCGTCAATCATAACTTGGGGTAAATTGCACCAGTTAATTCCAGGCCCTGTTTCTGGCCTGCATATTTGTCTAGTGTTTTTGCCAGCCAGTGGACTGTGTTATATCAGAGGTCTATTCTCCACATAGTTACAACTGTTTAAGTCAACCCTTTAACCATTTTGCTAGTAAGCTAAACACCCAGGGTGTTGAGGGAGCTAGCTGGGGTTATTGCAGAGCCCTTGCCACAGCTTTCCGAGCGCTCGTGGTGCTCGGGCCAGGTGCCAGATGACTGGAAGATAGCTAATGTGGTCCCCATCTGCA